ACTAGGATGAAGGAAGCTTTATTTTTATGTATGTTTCTCACAAGAAAATGAAGGAATAATTTAAAAAAGAAGCCCAGCCAGTGTGGCTCAGTGGTTGAATATCGACCCAAGAACCAGGAGGTCACAGTTTGATTCCCAGTGAGGGCACATCAATGATTCTCTTTCACCATTGATGTATCTATCTCTCTCTCCCTCTCCCTTCCTCTCTGAAATCAATAAAAACATATTTTTTAAAAGGAAAAACAAAAAATAGATCATTTTTTTTTTACATATTAGAACATGTTTTTATATATTTAAATAGCTTTTTTACTGCCAATTCATTCCACAACCCCTTTTAAGTATCCACTATGTCCAAAATTCATTGTAAACACATGAGTGCTTCCTCTCTTGGCATATTTGGAGTCAAATGTTATTTTAGACACTGAAAATACAAAAATGAGTAAGACAGCCTGCCATAAGGCAGCTACCAAATAAACACAAATTACTATACATACAGCAATGTAAAGTCCACACCAATGCACATAGGAAGGCTATGACAGAAAGAAAAGCTAACAGGAAAATTGAAAAGGCTTTATGAAGAGCTCAGCCTCAAAGATGAATAGGATTCAGTATGGCAAAAGAAACAAAATATGCAAAAACACAGAGACATGGCACAGCACTGGTGTGGCGGGAAGTTGGGTTTCATCATAACAAGAGGTTCACAAATGGGGAACAGAGTTGGAAAAGAAATTTGGAGGCACAGATTATAAATGTCCTTAAATACATATAACACTAAGGAAATTGGATGTTATTAGATAGGCAATTCAGAGAATTACCTAGCTCTTAAGCAGGGTCAATACACAATCAAATTTGCACATTTAGAATAATAACTCTGGAGGTGGGGTAGTCATGAAGATTGTCTAGAAAACAAGGCAGAATCTGAAGCAAGAGTTGGTAAAGTCTTGAGAGCAGTGGCAGAAATAGGGAGCAGGAGGCCCCTACCTGGGTTGCAGGAAGCAACCAATTGATGTTTCTCTCTCCCCTCCCTTCTACTCTCTCTAAAAATCAATGGAAAAAAATGTCCTGAGGTGAGATTTAACTAAAAAGAAGGAAGAGCCGGGACCAGTTTGGCTCAATGGATAGAGCGTCGGCTTGGGGACTGAAGGGTCCCGGGTTCGATTCCGGTCAAGGGCATGTACCTTGGTTGCGAGCATATCCCCAGTAGGGGGTGTGCAAGAGGCAGCTGATGGATGACTCTCTCTCATCGATGTTTCTAACTCTCTATCTCTCTATCTCCTCTCTGTATAAAATCAATAAAATATATTTTAAAAAATAATAATAATAATAAAAAGAAGGGAGGGAAAGGAAGGGAAGGGAAGGAGGGAGGGAGGGAGAGAGGAGGGAGAGAGAAAGGGAGAAAGGGAGGGAGGAAGGAAGGGAAGGAAGGAAGGAGGGAGAGGAGAGGAGAAAGTGAAGATCAACAAGTCTTTTCTAACAAGACTGGACAAAAAAGAACAAAGAAAACTGAAATTTCCAATACAGATGTCATTAACTACATTAAGAAGTAAAGGAGAAATAATGCTTTTCTTTTCATCACCTTTTCCTGGAGAGGGAGGATGAAAGGTTTCCGTTTTGAAAATAGTTTTGTTTTGTTTTAAACTTATCTGTGGAATGCCAGGTAAAGCTCCAGGAGGCACTTTGAAATATGACACTGATCCTCAAAAGACATGTGAATGACAGTTGAGACAAGATTTGAGGTGCTTTAGTGAGATGCTTTTAGAAGTAGATGACTCCATAGCCAGAAGGACAAAACCAGAACCAAATTCAATCTTCAAATAAAATCAGCTCAGGAAGGATAGAGGAATGTAATGACTAGGGAAAAGATAATGGCAACAAATATGAAATTAGAGCTCTAAGTCCAATACCAACTGTTTGGTGTTCACACACTCACAAATGACAAAACATGTCAAATGATCATGACATCAATAACCACTGGTAAATGCTACATAACCATGAAATACAACGTAGGAGAAAGGAAAGCAGACAGACAAGGCGCAAATCATAATGCCAACATGACTGCAAAATGAGACGACCAAACTACTGAACAGCAGGCTGCATGGGATGACCAGGCCAGCAGGGGGCGGAGGAGGGCATGGGGGGTAACAGGCTGGTAGAAGGGGGCAGTTGGGGGCATTTAGGCCAGCAGGGGGGGTAACAGGCTGGTAGAGGGGGGAGTTAGGGGCAATCAGGCCAGCACACAGAAGCAGTGAGGGGCAATAAGGCCAGAAGCGGGGGCAGTTAGGGGCAACCAGACAGGCAGGCAAGCAATTAGGAGCCAGTGGTCCAGGACTGTGAGAGAAATGTTCAATCGGGCTTAAACTGATAATCAGGCATCCCCCGAGGGGTTCCGGATTGGAGAGGATGCAGGCTGGGCTGAGGGGACCAGCTCCTTCCCCCCTTGCACGAATTTTGTGTACCCAGCCTCTCGTAAGTTTATTAAAGGGACAAAAGAGACAGAGTTGCATTTGACACCAGTTAAGTAACTAATCATCTGGATTTAAAAGAGTTTTCCCATTGTGCAACAAATGAATTCCAATTTTGTTTTTAAAAATCAGGGAAACTGGAAGCATAAGGCAAGAGAAGGTAAGGTGATTTGTAATAAGGATGGGAGGAAGCATTAGTAGCAAAAAGTGCAAAACTTACATTTGTATTGACTTCAACAGCAGCATGTTGTGACTTAGCATGTTCTAAAACTTCATGCATGCAAACCACTTTCATGCCTTCCTGTTTTTTGAAGTAGCAAGACACAATGGAACAAAAACTTTGGCAAAGTTGATATTAGACCTAGTTCTGTCTCCAATGACTGTCCATATGGCTCAGGAAATTAACCAAATTCAGTGTGTTCACTGGTAAAATTGGCTTGTTTTCATAGGCCCATACCAGAGGGGTTTTTGTTTTTTGTTTTTTGTTTTTATCTCTCAATTTATTTTAGCACAGGGCTAGGCACCAGCAGACACTCACTAAGTGCTATCATCCTTCCTTCCATGGGACTTCATTATCTACTAGAGGCCTGGTGCACAAAATTCGTGCATGGAGAGGGGAGGGTGCTCCTCAGCCCAGCCTGCACCCTCTCCAATCTGGGATCCCTCGGGGGATGTCCAACTGTTGGTGGGATCTGGCCTAAAGCGGCAGTCAGACATCCCTCACAATCCATGTCTGCTGGCTCCCAACTGCTTGCCTGCCTGCCTGCCTGTCTCCCAACCACTCTCCTGCCAGTCTGATCTATGGCTAACTGTTCCCCTACCGGCCAATTGCCCCCAACTGCCCCCCCCCCTCACCCCGGAGGACATGCTCTGGCCTGCTCACCCCCAATTGCCCTCCCCTGCCAGCCTGTTCACCCCTAACTGCCTCTGCCTCGGCCTGCCACCATGGCTTTGTCTGGAAGGACACCTGGAAAGTCTCCTGGTCTAATTAGCATATTACCCTTTTATTAGTATAGATACTTCCAGCAGCAAAATCACTAACTGTAGGCCTCAGTTTCTCCACCTGTAATGAATGATGCCTTACAGCGTTGTTTTCAGATTACATAATGAAAGTGGTTTGTCTAAAGCACAATATATATGTAAAGCATAATTGTTTCTAGGTCTGGCAAATAGTAGCAACTCCCATTTTATATATAGAGGAACTGAGAACCAAGAGGTTTAAAGGACTGGTATGTAGTAAGATCGGGGAAAGAACTCAACACCTACTCAAATCCCTTTCATCACCCCCTATACCTTGCTCAGATATCAAGGTCTCTTCTACAAGCTCAAGGTCTTCCCACATCACCCAAATTTTTCTTAATATTCAGGTAAGGGGTAAGCAAGCTACAAAGGAAAGAAGCAAAAGGACACAATAAAATGACTCGCCCAAAGTAAATAAATAAATAAATAAATAAGTAAGTAAGTAAATAAATAAATAAATAATCCAGACTAGAAAAGGAATGATTGCCTGCCGGCAGCCCAGGCCACTTCCCCCATGACTCTGACAACACCGAGAAGCGACGAGCTCCCCACTTCCCAGACTCAAGGACACTGTGCAGGGGCGCCCTCCGCTTCCAGCGTGCCAGCCCCCCGCGCCCCTGCTGCTCACCCACTGCGGGCAGCCCGGGCGAGGCCCCCACGCTCCCCGCAGACCCGTCCCCCGTCCCACCCTCCACCCCCGCCCCGAGACCCCAGACCCTCGCTCTCAGGACCCCAAAAGGTTGTGATCACAGCGCGAGCCCCCCCATCCTCCGTGCTCCCAGGGGCCTCACGCACTATGGCACTTCGGACGGGGCTCCAGCCACCGCCGTCGCCTCCGAGCCCGGCCGGCCGGCCTCCCAGTCCCGCCTCCACGGGGAAGCGGTAGCGGAGCAGGCCTGGGACTTCCTCTGACAGCTCCGCGCCGCCGCGGCCCGGGAAGAGCCCGCTCCGGGACTGACGGACTTGCCCCACGGCCAATCGAAACGCACGCGCGGAGGGGGCGCGGCCACGGCCGGAGGCCCCGCCCAGTCCGCACTTCCGCCGAGGTGTAAAGACCAGCGGACACTTTCCCAGAGTTCCTCCGAGCTCCCCGGGCCAGAGGGCTGGCCGCAGGCTGGCTGCGGCCGGAGGGGCTGGGTGTAGGAGAGGCGGTGGGGGGGGGGGGGGAGAACGCGCGAGGCCCCACCCCGGCTCCTTTTCCGGTATCTTGTTGGCGCTGAGCTGCAATTGGGGCCCCTCACCAGTGCGGGCACCGCACAGACCCCATCCCTGGCAGCGGGCGCACTTCAGAACCCGGCGCCCCGGCGCGGAGAGAGCACAGACTCCAGGGGGTTTGATAGCAACTACCTAATGTTTTGCCCAAATGAAACCCGTGCGTCTTCGCCCGCATCCGGAGCGCGCGTTGGGGAGGCGAGCTGTTTGCAGGACCACTAACCACCCCGCGTAGGAAGCGCGGCTCTGCCCCCGGCGCGCGGTTTGGAGCTGGGGGCTTGGATACTGAGCCTGGCCCCGGCGGCCATGGCGGCGCCTGGGGACGCGAGGCGGCTGTGCAGGCTGGTGCAGGAAGGTCGGCTGTGCGCCCTGCGGGAGGAGCTGCAGCGAGCGGGGCCTCCCAGCTGCCCCGGGCCGGCGGGAGACACCCTGCTGCACTGCGCTGCCCGCCACGGCCGGCGGGACATCCTGGCCTATCTGGCCGAGGCCTGGGACATGGACGTCGAGGCCGCCAACCGAGACTACAAGCGGCCTCTACACGAAGCTGCCTCCATGGGTCACCGGGACTGTGTGCGGTACCTGCTGGGCCGCGGAGCCGCGGTCGACTGCCTGAAGAAGGCTGACTGGTAGGTGGCAGGAGTTCCAAAACGATACCCCTTAGCTCCTTTTCTGCAGAATCATATATTCCCATGTACTTTTTCTGCCTCTGCAGTATAGCTTCTCATTAGAGCACACTGTTCCTACCCTTGGGAGTCAACAGTTTGGTCTAGACAGTTGCTTCCCTTTATAAAGCAGAGAACAGTACAGAATACGATCAAACAGATAGAAGAATATCAATGAATTCCCCATGTAACATGAGCCCCAGGATACGAAATTCTTCTGCGGACTTATGGTAAATGATTACTTCACCAATGGCATTGACTTAACTTTTTTAAATTTTGAAGTAGCTATAGGTGACAAAGAAATGTTCAGGGAAGTCCCATGTACCCTTCCCCTAGGACATTAACATCTTACAAGTTACAATAACAGAACTAAGAAACTGACATTGCTACAATCAATAAACTTGCTCACATTTCATCAGGTTATACCTACACTTATATGTGTGTGATGCTCTCTGGATGTGATTTTATCACGTGTAGCTTTGTATAACCATCTCGACAGTCAACATACTCACCTTTATCATCACACAACCAATTGCATTTTGTTAGACCAGCATTGTTTTCAGTACTCAGTTCTTGCTTACACAGAAGACGGCCACATATAGTAAAGTACATTTTGCCCACGGGGAGGGGAGTAGACCTGGTGGTGTTTTGAGGGTTGCACTTAGCTGTGACTAAGCACAAGACTGCTTTTCTTGTGCTGCTGATAAGTTGATCTAAAGAGAGTTCCAAGAGGCATAGGCCTCATATACTCCTCAAAGCAATAATTCAGATAAGGAAGCAGCCTAAAACAAAGCACTAAAAAGGCGAGGTTCATTTGATTATGTGTTTAGGAAGTGTATAATCACAATGAGACATTTTTGCCCATTCTCTTTTTCTTTCTTTTTTTTTCTTTCTGAAACACCTTCCCTGCTTTTTCAATAATCCCGCCTTGCTCAAGATTCATTCCCTTCATGAGGTTCTTGAAAATTCCAGCCTTCATTTATCTGTTTGTTTTCCTCTTAATTTCTCACTCACTGTTATTACTACATTACCCCCCCCCCAAAAAAAAAAGTGTTGGTAATTTACTAATATAGCAATATTACAAGTTAATTCTTAGATGAGACTTTAGAGATCACCCAAGTATAGTGAGCTCCCACAATGTGCCAGACACAGGTTCTAACCTGGGAATGAGGAGGTAAACAAGATCTGCCATTGCTTTTCAGAAATCCTAGCACTCTCGTTTTGCAGACAAAACAAAAAACAAAACAAAAAAACTCATGGAAGTGAAATGGCTTACCCCAAATCATTCATGTGGCTAGAGGGGAAGACCAGAGCCACCTCTCTTGATATAGATATAATGTAGTTCACTCTCCTATAGTTGTGGACACAAGTCAGTACAGAGACTTATTGTAATCACACTGTTTCATTTGCTCCATTAATGTATGTTTGTTTAAACTAGGTACAGTGTCAAATGCTCTTTTTAAATTCTTTTTTCAGCACAATATAATTAACTAGAGGCTGGGTGCACGAATTCATGCACAGGTGGCGTCCGATCAACCCAGGGGTAGGGTTGTCAGGGAGCCCTAGACGAACTCCCAGTTGAGGAGACAATTTGCACTTTACCCTTTTATTATATAAGATAGGATAAGTGGTTTCTCACTAAAGTAAGTGGGATAAGTCCGACAGAGTACCTTTTATGCAATATTCTTCAGGACAAACTTTATGATTTAGACTAATTCTGTCCCAATTCAGTGCCATATTAGAAACTAGCTCAGAAGCAGCTTTGCCTCCTTGGTATCCCCCTTTTGTAGGCATGCCTACATCACAATCATTTTCCTCTTATTTCACCCAGAGTCCTCAGGGCAGGCAAAGTAGTTGAAAGTTTTCCTGCTTCCCAAATCCCTGAGTCCTTTAGGTTTTCCATCTCTACCAAGGATGTGTGTTTTTCTAAAGACCTGGCTGTACCCGTATAATGTCTCAGCTACCCTTCTATCTGACAGCTTGTCCTCTTTGGCCTTAGGACTCCTTTGATGATGGCTTGTACAAGGAAGAATCTCGAGGTGATCCAGGACCTTGTAGAACATGGTGCAGATCCGCTTCTGAAGAACAAAGACGGCTGGAACAGTTTCCACATTGCCAGCCGAGAAGGAGACCCTGCAATCCTTCAGTACTTGCTCACCATTTGCCCAGATGCCTGGAAGACAGAGAGCAAAATTAACAGAACGCCTCTGCACACGGCAGGTATGGCCTGGAGCTCTGCCTCCCCCAACACTGCAGAATGGCATCGAGTTGGAGGGTTTTGGATAATAGAGGCTGGTGAATAAGAGCAGCTGTGGGATATTTTGGCATATGCTTAGTTTCTAAAGCTAATGTCATGTGGTACTTAACATGCACTTCTTTCTTGTATTAGTTCATTTTTCATAAATATCAGTCTTAGTCTTCCCAGCTAGTTATATGGTTTTTTTCCTCACTAAGTCTATACTTTGGGCAGGGAGCTTAGTCTCTTGAGCTAGTTTCAAAAGCAAGATAATGATGACAATGATGCCTATATCACAAGGTTGTTACAGAGTTTAAGGAGCCGGATGTAGGTAAACCCCTTAGCACAGTGTGTGACACATGAGCACACAATGGGCTGTTGCTATTTTTATGATCATTTTCACATTGTTTTTATTATTAAAGACAGGAGGAAAAGAGACAGTGTTTTTGTTTGTTATTTGTTTTTAATATATATTTTTATTGATTTCTGAAGTGTATAATCACAGTGAGATATTTTTGCCCATTCTCTTTTTTTTTTTTTTTTTTCTTTCTGAAAAAGGAGAGAGAGAGAAACATTAATGATGAGAGAGAATCATTGATCAGCTGCCTCCTGCATGTCCCCTGCTGGGGAGTGAGCCCTCAATCTGGGCATGTGCCATGACCAGGAATCAAACTGTGGCCTCCTGGTTCTTAGGTCAACACTCAACCACTGAGCCACACCAGCTGGGCAAGAAACAGTTTTTAAATATACTCAGCAATACCTACCATAACACTACCCATTTAAATAAATATAGGTGCTTATAATTAAATACCTGAGTGTATTTGACTTATCTAGTGATAATGTCAAATATAAATTTATTGTTTTGAGTAATTAGTCTTAATTCTGAATTATCTATAGATTATTTTAAATTAGTAAAAAGCAAAGCTGCTGTGGTGTAAGATGAAATGGATATTAATGAGCTTGAGTCCACATCAAGAAATCTAGAAAATAATCTTTAGCCTTCTAGAGAGTTCATTGAATTAGAATACAGAGTTTTTAATTCTCTAAAAATGAATACCTGTAACATGACATAGTTTAGGAAATATGCATACAATTGTTTTAGCCACACAGGCAGGTAAGAACCAAGCGATCTTTTTTCAAGAGGGAGCATAACGTTTTTCTGATCACCAATTGTTTGACTAGATCCCCTACTCTTTTGGAGAAATAGTACCCAGTCATTTACACAAAGTAGTGATGCACAGATAGTCAAAAAGCTTTATTATTGACCATAGTTATTTTTAGTAGAAGAATTAAATTCCTGGTTATTTTGTCATGGATTACTCTTAAAATGTTTTACATTTCCTGGGCAAAAGCTGCCTGGCTCAATTCAAAAGTGAGGAGATAGCTAAGTTTAGGATTGAAAATTTTTCATAAAAGGGTTCATAAAGACAAGATAATCAGTTTTGGCTATGGACCTATTTTGTAAAAACGTCATTCTTTACCAATTATCTAACTAGATTTTTATTAATGTACCTACCTTACTTGCCCCTTCCTATAAGTCATAGCTAAAAAGATAGGACAGAGACCAGTGCCAGGAGGAAAGAAGCATTTTATATGTGCACCTAAAAACTCTAATTCTTGACTCTTTTCTCCCAGCAATGCATGGCTGTTTAGAGGCAGTAAAGGTGCTTCTTCAGAGGTAAGAACAAAAGAGATTGAGGAAGACATTTGCTAATCATGACAGTTAATGTCGATGCTACTTAAAGAGCTCAAGCAAATTGTTCAAGAGCAGCTAAAGTATCCAAAGAGAAAAGAGAAAAGGATATAGCAGATAATTTAAAGAACATAAAACAAAAATAGCTAACAAATTTGAGAGAAAGCCATTTATTTGTTCATTCAACAAGTATTCATCTGTTTATTCAGTACCTGTTTTGAATTGTACCAGATGCAGAGATTACAATAGAAATGAGACAATGTGTTTTCCTTCTTATGGAATTCACAGACACTGCACTAGTTATATGAATCTGGTGGCCATTATGAGGAATTGCAGGATCCCTGCAGAAACTCATGATAAGAAGACTCAACTTGGCGTAGGAGTGAGGAATTTCAGTCCAGTGTTATTTAAACTATGACCTGAAGGAGGCTGAGAGTGGGAGGCAGGGGGGCATTCCAGTCAGAGGAAGCAGTACTCAGGGATGCTCATCCTGGGAAAACCATAGTGCATGTAAGAAACTGAAAGAAGCTCAGTATGTGTTGAAGCCTATAGTGAGGGGGGAGAGTGGTTCTAGGTGAGGCTGGAGAGGAAGAGCAGGTTTCAATCAGGTGGGACATTATAGACTATGGGAAGGATTTTAGGTTTTATTTTAAGCATCTAAGATGCCATTGAAGGGATTTAAGCAGGGTGAATAGAATAAGAAATTGTCATTTTTCAAAGATCCTCTAGTTGCAAAATAGTAAATGAAATGGAGGAGGAGCAAGAGTGGGTGCTTCGAAAGCTGTTGGGAGGCTATTATAGTTAAACAGGAAAGAAATTGTAGCTGGACTAAAAAGCTAACAGTAGGATGAAGGAAAAGATTTGGAGATACTTCAGTAGATCTAGGTGAATGTTTCAATAAAAGGACTTGGGGAAAAGGAAAAGTCAAGGATGACTTTCAGGTTTCTCACTTAAGCAGCTGGTGCTGGTGTCATTTACTGAGGTAAAGAGCAGTGGAGGGGAGGCAGATTTTGTGTGAAAAGATGACAGGTTCACTTTGGAACATGTTGAGTTGCATGTGCCTGTGAGACATCCAAGCAAAGATGTCAAGGGAGCAATTAGAGACACAGATATGAAGCAAAAAAAAACAGGTATGGGCTGAGATACAAATCTGAGCAACAAAGAGATAATAATTGAATTTTTAAGAATGGAAGAGATTACCTAAGTAGACAATGCATAGTAAGAAGAGAGGAGGGTTTAATGCAGTGCCCTGAAAACATTGCTTATGTTAGGGCTTGCCTACTGCAAATTGGAACATACTTGATTATCAGCAAATTTATAAATATCCATTCATTGAACAAACATTTTTGGAAGCACCTCCTGTGTATTAGGTGCTGGGTGGTAAGCAAAACAAATGCAGTCCTTTTCCTAACAACCTACAGGCTGATATGGAAGCCAAGTATAGGAAATCAAATAAATACCATAAAATTATAAATTGTAATACAGGTAGCTCTGTTTTCTGAAAGTTTGCATTATCCCAATTCGCCTATATATTAGACCTACATTAGTACCTTTTTTCACTAATCAAAAGAATCTGAAAAGGATTTTTTCTTTTACAAGAAAAGCTGTTATTATAGCAATGTAAGTATTTCATAAAAGTGAAATGGAACATGTAATGCAAACTTTCAGAAAGGTGAAGATACTTATTGCTTTATTCCATTTTGGCTTACAAAAAGTTTTGTAGGAATGCTCTACTTTCAGCTAGCGGGGGAAACTTGTAACGCTAAGAGAAAGAGTATACAATGGCATGTAGAAGGTACTGTTGATGCAGGAGAAAATACAGGCCTCTGTGAAGTCACAGAGTTGTGATTTGAAGAATGCAATGGAATTTTCCAAGTGAAGTGGAGAAATAATTTCTAAGTAGAGGGGATCAGCAAGTGCAAAGGCAGCAAAGAGTTGGGCAAATGAAAGAGCAGGAAAAAGGCAGGACCATGAAGAAGGTAGGATAGAAAAGAAAGTAAGACAAGTAGGATCGTGAAGAAGGTAGGAACAGAAGATGATCAGACTGCTAGGAGATGAGACTGAGAAGATAGCACAGGAAGTTGAGGGTAGGAACACAAAAAGGGAGATGTGATGGAGGAAATGATAGGACAAAAAGAAGGTAGGACCAAGGAGACAGTGGGGCAGGTAAGATAGGATGGTGAAGAAGGTAGGACTAAGAAGAAGATAGGACAGGTTGGACCATGGATAAGATAGGACAGGTGGGAGGTGAAACTAAGAAGATGATAGGGCAGGTAGGACCAGGAAATAAACAGGTCCTAGAAGAAAGAACAACCATGAAGAAGGTAGATTACAGTAAGCACAGAGCAGTGGGTATGTGGGCAAGAGAAACCTGGAGAGGTAAGTTTGTGAGACATTATCTTGACCACTAGAGGTCAGGCTGAAGTTCCAAATTTTGTGCTTTGTTTTTGGGACGTACTAGTTAAAGGTTTATAACAGGAGCAGTCATACCCAAATTGCATGGTGAAAAGATTATTCTGATAGCTCTAATAATGAATTAGCAAAGCAGAAGCCAAGGTGAGAAAAACAGGAAGCTATTGTCTATTGATTTTGGTCCTAAGGGGTAAAAGCAGCAAAAGAGAGAAAGATACAATTAAGATATTTTGAGTGCAGAATTGAGAGGTAATAGATAAAGTTTGAGGGCTAAGGCTCCTGGCATGAGAAATTGGGGAAATTGTAGTCCATGATATGGAATGACAGAAGTTTAGAGGAGGAACAGATTCATTGGGGGAAACACACATACTGTTGAAAAGCTAAGTTCTAATATTGAGATGGGGGAAAAGAGAGAGTGCTGCAGATTTTCACAGATCATTTGTAGGGCATGTCATCTACTACAGGTGGTCAAGAGTCAACTGTCCGTTGGGTCTGAAGCAGTGGCTCTTCTCAATTCTGTTATTTTGGGTTTGGGCTCTAGGTGTCAGTATGAACCAGACTGCAGAGATAAGTGTGGCCTCACACCCTTTATGGATGCAATTCAGTGTGGGCACATCAACATAGCCAGGCTGCTCCTCGAAAAACATAAGGTACAACAATGATTTGGTATTTTCTATGAGTTTTAGGTCATAGGATAAATAGAGATCATAGTTATTCAGATCCTGGGTTCAAATTCCAGCACTGCCATTATCCCCCTGTGGAACCCCATAACCTCTTTTAAGCATCAGTATTTCCATCTGTAAAATGGTGACAAATTTTAATTCTTCAGAGGGTCACTCTAAGGATTAAATAATATAATATACATAAAGCAGTTAGCAAAAGATGATTTTTTAAATTTTGATTGATTTTAGCGAAAGAGGGAGAGGGAAACATTGATGTGTTGTTCCATTTATTTATGTACTCACTAGAGGCCCAGTGCACGAAATTCGTGTACTGGGGGGGGGGATCTCTCAGCCCAGAATGTGCCCTCTCGCAGTCTGGGACCCTTCAGGGATGTCCACATAAGCCGGTAGTCGGACATTTCTCTCGTAGTCCAGGACCCCTCACTCCTTACCGCCTGCCTGCTCACTGCTCTTTACTGTTGCTGCAGAGGCGGGAGAGGCTCCCAACACTGCCACTGTGCTCGCCAACCATAAACCCGGCTTCTGGCTGAGCGGTGCTCCCCCTGTGGGAGCACACTGACCATCAGAAGGCAACTCCTGCATTGAGTGTCTGCCCCATGGTGGTCAGTGTGCATCATAGCAACTAGTGGTTCTGGTTATTCTGCTTATACTTTTATTGTATAGGCTAGAGGCCCAATGCATGAAATTTGTGCACAGAGGCAGGGGGAATCCCTCAGCCTGGCCTGCACCCTCTCCAATCCGGGACCCCTCAGGGGATGTCTGACTGCCTCTCACAATCCTGGATCACTGGCTCCTAACTGCTCTCCTGCCAGCCTGATCTCCCCTAACTTCTCCCCTACTGGCTTAATTTGCCCTAACTGCCTCTGCCTCGCCCCACACCCAGGACACAGGATTCCCTCATGCCGGTTGCAGGCACCCAGGACCCAGGCTTCCCTCCCTCTGGCCAGCTGCAGGCACCCAGTACCAGGGCTAGCTTTGCCCGGGCTGGCCACAGCCATAGGGGACGGTGGCAGGTGCCGTAGCCACAGGTACCTAGGACCACAGGGTGGGCAGCTTGTCCCTCTCCTGGGCCACAGACACAACCACTGGCACCCAGGACCGCGGGGCGGGTGGCTTGTCTCTCTCCTTGGCCACAGGTGTATCTGCTTTCACCTGGGACCGCAGGGCAGGTGGCTTGTTCCTCTCCTGGGCCACAGTCTGACTGGTCCCCATTCCTCTCTCCTCAGTGTTGAGTGTCTGAGCTGTTACAGCATGAGGGCATGGCAATCATTTGCATATTAGCTCTTTATTATCCTATATGGTAAAAGGCTAATATGCAAATTAACCAAACAGCAGAATGGCCAGTCACTATGACATGCACTAAACATGGGGGTGGGGCAGATACTCAACACAGGAGCTTCCCCCTGGTGGTCAGTGTGCTCCCACAGGGGGAGCACCACTCAGCCAGAGGCCCAGCTCAAAGCTAGCTAGCGCAGCGGCAGTGGTAGGAGCCTCTCCTGCCTCTGTGGCAGCGCTAAGGATATCCGACTGCCAGCTTAGGCCCACTTCCTGTGGGGAGCGGACCTAAGCTGTGAGTCAGACATCCTCTGAGGGCTCCCAGACTGTGAGAGGATGCAGGCTGGGCTGAGGAACCTCTTGAGTGCACTAATTTCATGCACCAGGCCTCTAGTATAGGGTAGGATTGGTTGATTCTTGTATATGTCCTGTCTGGGGATCAAACCCACAACGTTGGCATATCAGGATGATGCTCTAACCAACTGAGCTACTCAGCTATGGCAGCAAAGTAACAGTAGCTGTTTTATGGTAATAAAAACAAGCCCCACTGAGTGCACTTTTGGCACACTTTAGATCATTGAATCTTAAACATTTTGTTTGTTTATAGAGTCCTTTAAGAATCTGACAAAAGCTCAACAATAAAGATTAAAATAATAATAATAATAATAACCACAAAAATAAATAAATAATCTGACAAAAGCTATTTAATATAGGCCCAGAAAAATGTACATAGGCAGCAAATTTTAGCTAAAATGTCAGAAGGTCCATGAACCCAAGTTTCTCTGCTGCTTATTTTTGTTCCTGTCTCTCCCTAACCTACTAGGCTTGCATTGGTGCTGAGGATTTCCTGGGGGCCCAGGCTATACACAGGGCAGCAGTCACCGGGCAGAATGAAGCCATCCAATTTTTGGTTTATGAACTTGGCATTGATGTAGATGTGAAAGCAACATCAACTCACCTTACAGCACTTCATTACGCAGCTAAGGTTTGTTTCTTTTCATAAGGTTGGCCCTGCTTCCTCAGGCTTGCCTTCCTCTACTGATAAATAGCTCCACTGTCCTATTACTTTGGCTCCATCTCTGGAAGAAAAAAAGTTGCTCATGATACGCTCCTAAAATGTTAAAGGGCATCCCTGCATCCCTTTAAATAAAAACCTACCTTTATTTGTTGCTAGGTAAAAACTGAACACCCTTTATTCCATTCAGTGACTGGATTTTATGTTTCATCCCGCCCTTTTTTTGTCTTCAAGAATGATGTTTTTCGAAGCCATAAAAATCCATTATATTAAATTCCTAGCCCTCTCTCCTAATGGGAGATTTCAGAAACTAAAATTTTTTAACTGAAAGAAGGGAATTGCATTTACTGGCCTTTCTAACTTTATAAAATATTTTAAGGCATGCAAAAAATGTTCACTACAGCCTGACTTGTGTTGCTCAATGATTGAGCAACGATCCATGAACCAGGAGATCCCTGGTTCGATTCCTGGCTAGGGCACGTGCCCGGGTTGCAGGCTCCTCCGTGGGACAGTGCAGGAGGCAGCCAATCGATGTTTTTCTCTCATCAATGTTACCATCTCTCTATCCCTCTCCCTTCTCTCTCTAAAAAATCAGTTTTAAAAATATTAAAAAAAAAAATCTCACTTAATAAAAATCTTATTTTAAAAAGTTTTCCTCCTGTTTTAAATAATAGGAGTATTTGCTTATTATATTTAATATGATTGAACTAACTGGCTAGATAGAAAGTGTATAAATGAATGATGATGCCAGCTATGATATAAGTCCCATCCAGGAGAGGTGACCATCTTTTCTAATTTATCTCTGCCCTAAAGATTTTACCAAAGAGTATATGTACTTGGGAGAATTTGGAATTGTGTGTTCTGTATAAATCACAATACTTATGCTCATTACAGTGAAGGAAACCCAACTGTATTAGTCGGTAATTTGGCCTCCAAAGTTGACCATCTATTTTCTAATAACTGATTATCAACAAAATCTATCTTTAATGATTTATAGTGGAGTTTGAGAGTTATGTAATGATTTTTTTTCTTTAGATACAAAAATATAGTTTTAGCAATTATTTTAGAAAAATGACCTAATAAATACATTCATGTTTATGTTTAAAGGTGCTTGTCACAGTGATAATGAATTTATTTCACTCCTCAGGAAGGACATGTGAGTACAGTTCAGATGCTCATTTCCTTGGGTGCTGACATTAACTCTAAAGATGAAAGAAATCGAACAGGTACAGTTTCTTTGTGCCTTGGAAATTATTATTCAGTGGAATATAAACAATACATGCACTTTTTTATTGTTGTTATTAATCCTCACCTGAGGATATTTTCTCCATTGGTTTTCAGAGATTGTAGAAGAAAGGAGAAGAGATAGAGAGAGAAATCGATTGGTTGCCTGCCCTGACCCTGGCTGGAATCAAGCCTGCAATTGAGGTACATAGCCTTGACCAAAATGGAACCTGAGACACTTCAGCCCTTGGGCTGACAATCTATCCACTGAACTAAACTGGCTAGGGCTACATGACTTTTAAAAACATTGGTTTTAATATTATTCATTTACTACCTCAGCAACTTTTTTTTTTTAATTACATCTCCAAATAGAACTGTTGCTGTTACCATGGCAATGATGATTACTACTACTCGTTATTACTGCTGTTATTGTTGTTTTTATCATTTTATTTTGTTTTGTTTTATTTATTTATTTATTTAATATATTTTATTGATTTTTTACAGAGAGGAAGAGAGAGGGATAGAGAGCTAGAAACATCGATGAGAGAGAATCATCGATCAGCTGCCTCTTGTACACCCCCTTCTGGGGATGTACCCGCAACCAAGGTACATGCCCTTGACCGGAATCAAACCTGGGACCTTTCAGTCCGCAGGCTGATGCTCTATCCACTGAGCCAAACCGGTTTTGGCAGTTTTTATCATTTTAAATTACAACAGTGTATGTGACATAAAAACACTTTATATTGTCACGATGCTACCAGTTATTCAGGTAGATGCTTCATAGGTCATTTCTCTTTTAAATGTATTTAAAGACTACAATCATTACAGTTTTCTCAATTTAGAGCTCAGAAGGATATTTTCAGAGCTAATTTTTTTCTTTTTTAAAAAATATATTTTATTGATTTTTTACAGAGAGAAAGGGAGAGAGATAGATAGAAACATCAATGAGAGAAAGTCATCGATCAGCTGCCTCTTGCACACCCCCTACTGGGGATATGCCCACAACCAAGGTACATGCCCTTGACCAGAATCGAACCCAGGACCTTTTAGTCCTCAGGCCAACGCTCTATCCACTGAGCCAAACCGGTTTCGGCAGAGCTAATTCTTTAAATTCATACTTTAGAATAAACCTCAATTAACATTCTCTGTGTCAATGGCCATCCTTCAGGAGTTTAGTGGAGGTTTCATGATACTTCAAAGACTCAAAGCAAACTATTCACTTTCAGGCCACAGAGGATGGTCCCCAAGTCCAGGGACACAGATTTTCTCTTAAAGACCAGAGCAAGAGTGCTAATTTCTAACCAGAACAGGAAGATCTGTCATCTCTCTTTTTTTTTCTTTTTCTTTTTTTTGTCATATCATTCTCAATCATGGTGATACTTTTACCGAGAGAGTTCACAAAACTTTGGAAAATTTTTTGTATCATTTAAAGTCTCTTTTTTTCCCCCCCCATAAACTTGCTTTGTTGCTTTAGTCAAATCTCTTAAATCCTCTCCAGTTGGTCTTGTTATTTTTAAGTCTTTCTATCCCAATCAGCTTAAAAGGAAAAATGTTTTAATCTACTATGAGCTAATCACACAGAGGGATTGTGGAAATATAAAACCTTTACAATTGAAAGAATCAATATTTTCATTAGGAGCAACCTACTAGCCAGGTCTGTATTACGTTGGGGATCATGCACTAAGTTTGTGTGACTTCTCTCTCTGCTTAGCCCTCCACCTGGCCTGCGCAGGTCAGCACCTGGCCTGCATCAAGTTTCTTCTGCGATCTGGACTGAGGGATTCTCCAGACATCACGGGTACCATGGCTCAGCAGCTCACACGGAACACAGACATCCTTCAGTGCTTCAGCCACAGCATGATGGCATGAGGGATTCTAAAAGGCAGTAAAACTCATGGTAACTTATATCCTGCTGCTTAAGTCATCACCGGGTTCAGTGAAATCTGTAGATAGTTGCTCCCCTCTGCCTTCCCTCCACCGCATCTGAGATTCCCAGAGGATGTGGACGCTGGCTTCCTAGATGGAGGGATGGGCACATTAAAAATCTATCCCATGCCGAAACCGGTTTGGCTTGGTGGATAGAGCATCAGTCTGCAGACTGAAAGGTCTTGGGTTTGATTTCGGTGGGGGACATGTACATTGAATGCGGGCACATCCCCTATAGGGGGTGTGCAGGAGGCAGCTGATTGATGTTTCTCTCTCATCGATGTTTTTAGCTTTTAGCTCTGTATCCCTCTCCCTTCCTCTCTGTAAAAAATCAATAAAATATATATATTTTTAAATAAAAATAAATAAATAAAAATCTCTCCTTACCTGCATTTCATTTTGTGGCCTTCAAATGTATTTAGATGATGTTTGTGAGGTCAGCGTGTGGACACAAGCATGTAACATGCAGGAATATAATATAGTATACAGTACGTGCTTTTATATATATACAAGCAGCCCAGTGCATGAAACTCGTGCACTGTTGGGGGGACGTTGTCCCTTAGCCCAGCCTGCACCCTCTCCAAACTGGGAGCCCTCGGGGGATGTCTGACTGCCAGTTTAGGCCTGATCCCAGGCCCACAGGATGGGGCCTAAACCAGAAGTCAAACATCCCTCTCACAATTTGGGACTGCTGTCTCCTAACAACTTGCCTACCATGATTGACACCTAGCTGCTCCCCTGCTGGCCCGATCACTCCTAACTGCCCTCCCTGCTGGCCCGATCACCCCCAATTGCCCTCCTTGCTGGCCATCCTGTGACAACATGGGGACGGCCATCTTGTGACGGTTGTCTTGTGACAACATGGGGGTGATGCAAGGGTGTGAGGGTCAATTTGCATATTGCCTCTATTATATAGGATTTCTACATATATATGAAATGTTTTTTTTAATTTATTGTTTTGTTTTTTTTTACAGAGAGGAAGAGAGAGAGAGAGTTAGAAACATAGATGAGAGAGAAACATTGATCAGCTGCCTCCTGCACACCTCCTACTGGTGATGTGCCCCCAATCAAGGTACATGCCCTTGACCAGAATCGAACCTGGGACTTTCCAGTCCGCAGGCCGACACTCTATCCACTGAGCCAAACCGATTAGAGCTATATGAAATGTTTTATAGTAAACATATGGTAAGGCAGTAATAATATTAAAAATATAGCAAATTACTGCTCATTTGAGCCATAAATAATTGTCCTATTTACTCTCTTTCATAGGCATTTTCTTAGTTGTCACATGGTTTAATTTGGTTTTGTAGCCAGAGGGAAGTGTTTTATTTACACAGACATTTTCAAGGAATTTATGAAAATATTTCTATATTCTAAGCATTGCTAGTTAAGCTATGTTATGGTCTTGATGTTATTTTTTTTTTTATTATTAAACAAGTTCTGTATTGACTCTCTTTAGGTAATCAATACACCTAAAAAAAAATGAACTTAGGATAATTTAAAAACTTTTCTGTTACCTCAGTTGAGGAAGCGGTTTGTTGTTAAAGCCTGCAGGTCACATTTTCTGTTGCATGCCATCGAGGCCTGTGATTGTGAAGGAATGAACACTTTTTGTACCTTTTAAGAAATTTGTAGCAATTTAAACATGTTGAAGATAGGATGAGTCTTCAGGCATTTGGATTCTCTTCCATTTACTTATTTGTTTGTTTGTTTGTTTGGTTTGTTTTTGGTATCATTTTCTCTGAATTGAAGAAGATAGCAATTAGTCTAAGTCAATCTGTTGAAAGATTGAATGTATCCATCACAAGCAAGACCTGATCTCCTTGTTTAGTGTAGTCTCATGAGAGCTTGTCACACATCTAGCTATTCTCTAGCAGTGTACTGTGCTAGATGAACAACCAGAAATTCCAGATCTTGCCAAAACCGGTTTGGCTCAGTGGATAGAGCATCAGCCTGTGGACTGGAAGGTCCCAGGTTCGATTCCGGTCAAGGGCATGTACCTTGGTTCCGGGCACATCCCCAGTAGGGGGTGTGCAAGAGGCAGCTGATCGATGTTTCTCATCAATGTTTCTGACTCTCTCTTCCTCTTTTCCTCTCTATAAAAAATCAATAAAAATATATTAAAAATAAAAAAAAATTTAAATAAAAAAAAAAAGAATTTCCAGATCCTTATTATTCCCAAATGGAACTGACTGAGTCCTATACCTAACAATCAGATAAACATACTTGATTACACTGAGTGGCCAGATTATTATGATCTCTGAACGCATAATAATCTGGCCACTCAGTGTGTGTGTGTGTGTGTGTGTATACACATATACATACATATATATATATATTATATATATATTATATATATATTATATATATATTATATATATATTAGAAGCCCGGTGCATGAATTTGTGCATGGGTGGGGTCCAGCCAGCCTGACCAGGGGGAGGGGACGTGGGTGGTTGGCCAGCCTGCCTGCTGGTCGAACTGGTAGAGGAATAATTTACATATTACCCTTTTTATTATATAGGATATACACTGAGTGACCAAATTATTATGCATTCAGAGATCATAATAATCTGGCTACTCAGTGTATATAATTTTGTCTTGTGACTTTTATATTACATGCTGCATCTGCACTGATTCAAGCTGTAGTTACATTTCCTGTGGCTTCAGGACGTTTGTGTGTCTGCCCTTTGGGTCTGAAGATGGCCTGTTAACGTGCAGGCAGGATGGAAAATCAGTCTGGTGCTGGCCATCTCATCCCTTCAGCACACATGTGAAGCAGCTTTTTATTTGCAATGACTGTATGTGAGATGGTTTCAGGTGTGTGGCTTTGCTTCTATTGTACCACCTTGTACTAGCTCACCACCCAGCTGCAATGAGGAAATATCTGGTTACACGTTTGTTCCCAGAAGTTTCAGAGATGGCAGGAATGATGATAATGTCAATTGTGACAAAAATAGTAGTGATGATATTATATAAGTCTTACTGTATTAAAATTTTAATGACAATGATAAAAATTAGTATTATTGCCTACTTCTATTATAGGTACATTTCTCACTTCTTTCGGTCTTTACTTAAAAGTCACCTCAGCCGAAACCGGTTTGGCTTAGTGGATAGTGCGTCAGCCTGCAGACTAAGAGGTTCTAGGTTCGATTCCAGTCAAGGGCATGTACATTGGTTACGGGCACATCCCGGTGGGGGCTGTGTGGGAGGCGGCTGGTTAATGTTCCTCTCTTATCGATGTTTCTGGCTCTCTATCCCCTTCCTCTCTGTAAAAAAATCAAAAAATATTAAAAAAAAAAAAAGTCACCTCAGTGAGGCCCTCCAAGGCCATCCAATCTAAAATTTTGTTCTCTCTTTCAGCATTTTATATCTCCTTTACTCAGTTTTTTTTTTTTTTTCTCCTTTGCATTTACCACTATCAAGTATACCATACATTTTGAGTTATTTTGTTTCTTGTCTATCTCCTCACTAGAATATTAGCTTCTTGGGCAAGGTTTTTGTCTCTTGTTTATTTACTAAATCTGTGGGCCCATCGCAGAGCCTGGTACATAGTAAGGTCTGGAATTATTATATGGTCAAAAAGTGAATGCTAACAATTCACATTTTTAAAAAATAGATTTTATTGATTTTTTACAGAGAGGAAGGGAGAGAGATAGAGAGCTAGAAATGTCAAGAGAGAAACATCGACCAGCTGCCTCTTGCACACCCCCTACTGGGAATGTGCCCACAACCCAGGTACATGCTCCCAACCAGAATCGAACCTGGGACCTTTCAGTCCGCAGACCAATGCTCTACCACTGAGCCAAACCGATTTCGGCACAATTCACTTTTTTTTTTTTTTGCCCCCCCCTACAATTCACATTTTTTGAAGACTTACTATATCCTAGATACTGTGCTGAGCACCTTACTTAGATGGTTTCATTTCATCCCTTGGTTCTTGCATGATATAGCCGCTCCTAATTATTATTCCACCCCAAGCATTCTTTCTCACACCAACTTCTTTAAAGAAGTTCCCCTCGGTTTCATCAACTCATAGGCACTGCTCAACCTGCTGCAGTCCAGCTTCCTAGCTGCTACTCTGTGCAAGTTTTTCTCAGGTTACCAGTGACTTTCCAGTTGCCAAATTAAGTAATATAGTTTTAGCTCTCATGTTATTGATCCATCCAGTTTAACTATCCATCACTCTCACCTTCTGGAAACTTATTCTTTCACCTGTGGTAGCACTCTCCTGGGATTTTCTTTCTGACTTTTCCTTTATGGTCTCCATCAGGAATGCCTCTTTTAAGGCCTGCCCTGTAAATGCTATTGTGCCCGCTTCTGTCTCCAACTCGGTCTTGTCTTTATTGTACATATGCTTCCAGAACCAATGCCTCTTTTAGGGCCTGCAAATGCTAGTGTGCCCATTTCTAGCTCTAACTCAGTGTTGTCCTTATTCTGCCCATGCTCCCAGAACCATCTCATCCATTCTCATTTCACCTGCACCCAAAAATTGATGACACTCCATTCTCTAACCTGCAGTGTGTATGTGTGTGTGTGTGTATATATATATATATATATATATATATATATATATATATATATTTGCATAGACATTCTAAAGCTATCCTACACTTTATTCAAAACTTAGCTTTCCCCTCAACCTGCTAAGATGTGTGCCTGTATTTGCTGCCTAACTTGGTGACACTGCAGATCACCAGTCACCCACATGGGAAACCAGGAATCTGACTCTTACTCCAGCAGAAAGCCCCGCTCTGTCTATTCTGCTCCTGCCCTGTTAAGACTCCCTGGTTCAAGCCCTCAGACTTGTCCAGACCACGATCACAGTAGCCTCCTAACTGTTCGTCCTGCTGCAGTCTTGTTCTCTTCAAATCCGTCCTCCACACAGCCCTGAGCTTCCACTCACACGACCCAGGGCATTGACTGCTGCGGGTGATTCACCC